TCCCTGAGCAGTCATCTGCCATAGTAAGCAGAGATTTTTGTATGATGGGAGATGGAATTCTTGGACAAGTTGCATAACTTCATGCATAAACTTTCACAACAGAAACCTAGCTCAAAATACACTGGTAAATTTTTCCAGTTAATAGAGGCTCTATTACTGGTATTATTTGGATAATACTGTATTAGTAGGTAGAGTTCATTATATGTCTGGATATTCTGAAGATTTCCTGCAAAATTTTAAATATGTATTTGGAAGAAGACTGTACAGCTGTTTAGCAGCAGGGCACGGGCTGTCCTGATAACTAATGTGTAAATATTTGTGAAGATAATAAAAGGAATCCTATTAAACAACTGTTGTTGCATACTGGACTCTGTAGGAGGCAGTCTATTTGGGAATATTAACAGAAAGATCTGCTACTGATACGGTCTGACTGCTGTTGAGTAGCAGTTACAGATTGGCTTCGTTTCCTGAAAGTAGGAAGGGTGGTTCTCTGCCGTAGCAGGCACAGAGATACCTGCGCACAGCATATGCTGTTCGGGCATGATAGGTGGTAGTCCATTATTTAGCTTTGAGTGGTCCCACTCTAGGCTGCAACTGTATCTGACCTGGGAGTCAGTTCTGAATTGCTTCCTCCAGAGTCTGGAGAAGGGAGAATGGGGAAGAATCCTCGCTGACACAGCGTGAGGTTTTCCCCTGCCCTTTTGGAAATACTGTATATTCTGAAACTCGGCTCCACGTAAGAGGAGAGGGTTGTGGTCACCTAACTTCAGAGAGCTCTATGGATTGCCTGGGTCAAGGTCCACACGCAGCATATGGTGTTGGAAGTACCTTAAATTTGGTATCTATCCAATAGTTTTGAGATTTTAAACACTGCTTTCACATAAAGGGTGATTGCACTCATAAGAAATAATTTTCAGTTTGCTCTATCATACATGCCCCATGAACCTGAAAGGTCTGACTCTTTCTACTGTTTTAGTTTTTTGGTTGTAGTTAGGAGTTCTTAGTATACAATTAAAGAGATACTGTCATAAGGTCTTGCAGTGTTTCTGAACATTTCCCTCTGAATGTAGGCAGTCAGTCAACATGCAATTTTCTCTTTCCTAGAAAATCAAGTGCGCACTTCCTACATTTGATTTTCTCTTCCACCACAGAGAAATTACTGCATCAACAGATTTACTTCAAATTTCTAAACACTTCTGATAGAGAAGGAGGATATTAGCTCTATTAATCGCTAGTTTTTTATGCTTCCTTTGTGGTAGTAAATATTTGACAGATTACTGCAATTAAGTTTAGAACATTATCCAAGGCCACATTGGAAAAATAATATTTCTATTTTCTCTTAAAACTCACTCTATCTTTTGAAATATATCCAGTGTTTAGAAAACTGACTGATCTATTTGGACAGTATTCCAGGAAGTGGTTTAGAAACATGTAACCTAAGTCTTTAAAATATATACACGTAGTCTCCTTCTGGGCAAGCAAAAACTTGCTAATATTAAACAAATCAGTATTTGAAGAGAACTATGATGTGCTAAAGAGATTTTTCTTTCCAGTCTCATTTGGGGCTTTTTTGGAGGGAGAAGGAAGGTTGAAGAAGGCATTTGAATTTGTTGAGATGCTTCTTCACCTTCCCCATGGCAGTAAAATGTTTCTTTGCATATAAAAGGAGAAATCAGCTTCCAATATATCTGCCATAGAAGAGTTCTCCTGGTAGTATAAGCCCAAAGGGGCAAATATGTGATGACCCTTTGGGAACAATTCTATGCAGCTATTATTTTTTCAGCACTAAACTTTTTTTCCTTTTAAGCCTCTTAGCAGTAATTGGAATACGTGATACTATGTCTCGTATCAGAGAAGAGCAAGCATACTGACAGTGCTTTGGATGTGTTAGCCAGTGGCAGTGTTTCTCTGGACTTTCTAAAGTAATCACTGCATAGCATATTAATATGTCTTGGAGTGCACTTATATTAACATTCTAGTACAACAGATAAAAAAATAGATTTGCAAAAATTAAAGTATCAAAACAGACTTCTACGTATTCCTTACGAAAATGAATAATGGATCATTTTAGTAAATTATTCTAAATGCTAGTCAAAAATATCACAGAATCACAGAATGGTTGAGGTTTAAAGGGCTTCTGGAGATCACCTGGTCCAACTGCCCTGCTCGAGAAGGGTCACCTAGAGCACGTTGCCCAGGATCACGTCCAGATGGGTTTTGAATATCTCCAGGGAAGGAGACTCCACAACCTCTCTGGGCAACCTGCTCCAGTGCTCGGTCACCCTCACGGCAAAGACATTTTTCCTCATGTTCAGAGGGAACTTCCTGTGTTTTAGTTTGTGCCTGTTGCCTCTCATTCTGTTTCTGGGCACCTCTGAGAAGCCTGGCCCCATCCTCTTGACACCTGTTCAAATACTTATATATGTATTGATCAGACCAATTTGAACATCATTTCTCAAATTGTAAGCAGTAATTTTAATTTTTAGCAATTATAGTGGTTTTTTTGTTTGTTTTGTTTTGTTTTGTTTTTTTTTACCTTTCAGAAGTTATGTTTTATCAATCACATAAAGTGATTTACCAAATAACTTGCTCTGATAACTGGCTTATGATTCTGAAGCAGCAATTATTTGGTTCTTGCTAATTATTTTAATGTAGTCTTAACCTTCCTGAACTTTCAGGTAAGAGTAACATGAATGTATTTGGTCGAGGTTATGAAAGTAGGTTAGTACAAGAGAGAAAACATGAATACTGCAATTGAGTTTTAGTTGATTGCTTTCATAGACTGGCCTGCTTATAGGTTCAGCTTGCCTGGCTGGAGACAGCATTAGACACCGCATGCCTTGAGACTGAAGTATGACCAGATTGCTTGAGCATGGATAAGCAATATGTCTAGATTGCCGTCATTGTCAGTTAGTGAAATGGGTGTCTCTATAAGGTATTCAGATTTAGAATTCATTTTCTTTCATAAGCAAATTTATTTGGAAGGAATAGGGAGAATATTGTAGCAAAGAATAACATTCCTGTTCCTCATCTCAGGATGTCCTCTCTGCTAAGGTGTTTGAGTTCATCTCAGGAGTGAGCCCTTAAGCCAGCCATCTCCAGGCTGGTTTGGATTCACTGTTCATCACTCATCCCAGTGTCAAGGACTGCCTAGTCCATTTAAAATACAAAACAAAAAGAAGAAAACATATGCAGAATAAAAAATCTCTTGGGATGTTAAAGTAGGCTTAGACCCTAAAGGGAGATTAGAAGCCAAGTATCATTTTCTGTACTGCTGCTGTAACTGTTAGGCTATTCTGCAAAAGGTAATTTATGTTGCCTTTCTTCCTCGTCCCCACTCTAAGTGATTCCTCATCCTCACTGCTTTAAGTGATTCTGAGGTCAGCTGTTAAACTGCTGGCTTTGTTCCGCTCTTAGTCGTCATAGGTTAATAGAGCCATGCAATTTTAACCTGGCTTTCAGAGTACTGAAAGGGTGAATGGGAGTGTATTAGGAGGGAACTGCAAGATTAAGACCTCTTACCACAAGCTGCAAGATAGTGGTCTACTAAAGATGGCTTATTTCAAAAAGGCTTAAAATTCTCTTTTCCTCTTCCTGATTGTTTTGCTAACTCATAAGCTTTCTCTTCTATTTCTTCAGTTGTTCTAGGTGGTTTAGGATTATTTTTGCAGTTTCAGACCTGCTACAGTGACAGCTATATAGATGTTTAATAGTGTTTTGCATTGTTTACACTATTTTTGTTGGTCATGTTTGAGTGCTGGGATCTTAAGTGGAGAGGCTAGTCCAGCTGTGCCTTTTTTCTGTGCTTCATGGACAACCTTTGATCCCTTAACTGCCCAGGGTTCTCTCTCTCACTTGTTGCAAATAGACAACAACCTCGACAACTTTGAAAAGCCTCGCATGCATTCATTGCTTGCTTTTACCTGTTAAAAATGCAAATTTGGTTATTATTTATGTAGTTGGCTGTAATTTGGCAATGTAGAAGTGTTTTTTTTTTTTTTTTAAGGTAGGAACAGGCAGTGCTTGCATATATGTGAAACGTTTCTTAGCCAGTCTTTCTATCTTATTTTTAACTGGGATAAGGTTCTAAGAACACATATAGGTGAGCTAGTCACAAGAAGGTGCAGTATAGCTAATCTGACAAGTCTAAAAGTAATGCAATTAAAGAAAAAACCTTAGATTCTTATGATTTGTTTCTATTTTCAGCAATTTTTGTCTGTGAGGGTCAAAACAGCAGCGTTTTGTCGGTTGAATTGGAATAGGTTTGTTGTTTTTTTCTTTTTTTTTGCCTGTGATGAATGCCAAAGTTCTCTTGCAATAGCTTGATTCCACCAGTTGGAACTTTTATTTACATAATTGTTCTAAAAGCAAATAGCACAAGAAATGTCATCATAAGTTTGCAACATTGTTTGACGTTATCTTGTATGTTAGAACCCGAAAAGGAGTTCATGAAGCTATGCTTAAGCCTCTGGAGGTGAAACATGCTGGTAGTCTAATACCTAAAGCCCATTTGTTTTGTAGGAATATGTAGAGAAGTCAAAGGAAGAAGCTATTTGTTTATATCTGGTATAAGTAGATGAGTATTCAGATCTGGCCCTAATGTTATTGAATGGTCATATTATCAATGATATATATTATCTACATATTTAAAAATTGGAAGAGAAGCACAGTTAAAGGAGGATAATATTCAAATGCCAGAATGCTTTAATCTGGGCCTCATTGTTTTATAGGATAAGCATGCCAGATTCTCACTGAAATAAATCATAAAGATAGAAAAAGAGTGGGAAATGAATTATGTGCCATGCTTTATTGAATGAAATAGACTATTTTTCCTTCAGTGACCATTTTTTACAACTCTTTTGGATTTTTTACTTTATCATAATGTATAATTCCCTTCTTTACTTAATTGTTTGAGTTGGAGCTGTAATTGATGCACTTTTTCTGGATAGTAATATCTTGAATAGTTTTCTGGGTTAAGAAGATGTTCTTTTTCCATTCAGAGTTTGCTGTGGAAAAGCCATTGTGTTCCCAGTCTTTGTTTGTTTGTTTGTTTGTGTGTTTTCTCCACATACAAGAATCTGCTGGAGGCTGGTGCTCATGGTGAGTTTTGTGGCTAATTCTTGTGGGTTTTATCTTGGCAGTGGCATTTCCTAAAGTCTGTGGTAGCCTACGTACCGTTTGGAAACGTGATGAGGGTGCTGTTCTTTGCTTGTGTCCTCTGTTATATGGACCTTTCAACTCTCTGTGTGATCAAACAAGTGAAGAGCCCACGCGCCCTGTGGGAAATGCTTAACGTCACCAATTCAATTGCAAAAAGCAACACAAAATCATCCAGTTATCTATTTATATTCTGGTTTATAATCATATTTATCTCTTAGTGCCCCAAATGAGCATTTCAATAGTTTGTGTACCTTCTTACACTGTTACATATCCCAAGGGGATTAAAGGAACTTTGTCAGAGACTGATAATAAAACAAAAAGTCATAGTAATCTGTGTTTGATTCAGTATTGACAGTGACAAAATCTAATGAGATTTTTCTCATTTTTGGGCCACAATCTTGTTAAGAATGACTGTGTTTGAATTTTCTGAATTGAATATCAAAGACATTTCCCTTCCACTTCTGGACAGAAATCTGCTTCAGAGCTATAGTCGCGAGAAACCTATTGTTTGATTTTAACATCTTCTCTTATATAACCATCTCTTTGTCCTCCACCAAAATAAAAATCTTGTTGACTTTAGACATCCAGGATCTGATTTTGGCTTTTTAGAAAATGCTGAATGCATATGATTGAAATTCTATTTAGATTTTTTAGCAGAGAATTAAATCATTGGTATATTTCTTTAGGGAAGCTTGGAGTAAAGATAGGGTAGATGATTCAAACGAAGAATTTAGAAGCAATAGCTAAGATGCGCTTTCATGCCTACTAGCTTCAAGTCCTTGATAAGCTGGAAATTATTTTAAAATTATAATAAATTTATCATAATAAATTCAATAGACATGTAAATAACTAAAAATCAAGTTCCTGATTCATTCATAAGATCATAATTTCTATCTTAAGCCAACTTCTTGATGTGCAAGAGGCTTATAAAGGTGAGATTTAGATCTCACCTCAGACTTTGATTGCTGTAGTCCTAACCCAGATAGATTTGCACTTCTAATTCCAGCTGCAGTGCTTTGGGCAGATCTTAAACATTCAAGTTTTACACTATGATCTGATGCCAAGTTACCTTTAGGCTTAAATGTATGTGCTTATTAGCATTTGAGATACTGTAGGGCATTCAGCCAAGCCTCCAGCTGCTTCTGCAATAAGGTGTGGGTCTCACACAGTTCCTATTTTGAATGTCAGCTGTGTGTGGATTTCTTGGGCCTACTAGGGTGTCTAAGATATCATTAGATTTAGGCATTTGAATTGAGCCTCTAGTTCCTCTTGGTTGTTTTATTATATTTATATTTTATATTTTATATTTTATATTTTTCTTTGACTGTTAGATTTAATTTTTCTTTGTATTACAGTTTTATATTAGTTTGAAAATATGATTGCTTGTTATACTTAACAGTGTATAGTCAGTTGTACTATAGTTTATTTCATATTATCAAGGAGGAAAAAAGCTAGCCTAGCTCTCACTTGTTCAGCACTTTTTTGAGTTCCCCCATTTCAATAGGAATAAGAAATCTTGAAGTTATATTGGTATTTAGTAGTTAGCTACTGCTATAAGGGGAACATACGGATTTTACCTATTCTTTAGCCAAAAGGAATATAGGTCCTTTTCTGCTATACATGTATGCAGAAAGCATGGCTTTTTCAGTCCACCCCACCTCTCCACCCCTGGTTTCTACTTTTGTTGATGTGCTGTAGTGGGACGTGTCTGCTCGAGCAAGTCTCCATAACTATGAAGATTTTTTCCAAACTATAGCTTTAGGCACAGTAAGAGTTACACACTCCTTAGTAATAGAGCAGTAAGGCTCGAAAAATCTTTTATCATCAAATCACGAGAATGAAAATCTCTTTTTTCTCAAGAATTAAATACCTAAAATGTTGCAGGAGGTCATTAAACTCGGGATGGTGATAATTTTCATTGCAACTCAGTTGGTGTACGGAGTCCAAATGTTAGAAGTTCAGGCAGAGTGGAAAAAGTGATCTCTCTGAAACAAAAATCTTGATTTTTGTAAGCAAATGCTTTTAGCAGATAATTATTGAGGAAAGGGAAGGAAAGAAGCATTTTGAGATCTTATTTTTCTAAGCATTTCCCTCATTTTAAGCACGTGAGTAGTATCAGTAGACGAGCTTACATTTAATTCAGTTTTTTTTTGTTCAGCACTGAGATCTAAGTTCAGACAATGTAAATGTGATAATAATAAAATTAATTATCTTAACAGATTTTACTCAGGATTGTTCATGAGTGCTGTTCAGTTTGCAAACTGCATTACATAGCAGATTATTTTTTTGTCAGCAATTTGAACATTATTAAGCATTTCTTTAAGAAGAAAAGGAAAACTCAGTACACAAGTCTGCTGTGTGGTATTTAAAATGCAGCAGGCTATTTAGTTGAATGTCTTTAGCTACACAGTTGAATCGTTCACTTCTGCATAGATTAACAAGTAATTATTTTAGAACTCTAGCAGTTTCATGTTCTACAATTATGCTTTTTGATTCCTTGTTTTGTTTTATTTCTACTTAGTTGGATATTTACTACTGTATAGGATGAGGATTAATTTTCAGCTTCAGAAAAGAGGTTTGTGTCCTTCCCCTAGTGAATGTGAAATCCAAAATGCATCAGAAACAAGGAAGGAGAGAACTGTGAAATTTCAAGCATTGCACTGTCAATTCGCCTCAGCTTACTGAGAGTATCAGCTGGCAGTGTCAAGCAAACAGGCTTTTTTTTTTCTCCCTCTCTTCTCTTCTTCTTGGCAGCTTGGCATTTTCCAGAGCCAAGTCTTGTGTTTCTGCTGATTCAGAACAGTACTGTGATACATTTCCTGTGCTTTACAGGTCCCCAGGATTACTCTTAACTTTTTTTCTTGAGTATATCTGTTTGAGGAGCATCTGCAAACAGTAGCACAGGTGCTATTATTTTTTTTCTTTCATTTTTAAGTTGATTGTTGTGACCAGGTTGCTGGCCTGTTAAACAGTTCAGACAAGTAAGTTGGATCTTTAGCAGTTGCTTTAGCTCAACTTCTCTTCTAGTTACTGGAGTGAAACGTTGGCAGGAGCGTTCTGGCAGGCAGCAGTGTGTCTTCTGCACCGTTGTGTGTTCGCGCAGCGCTAGGTGAGATGATGGGAAACAGCCCATATGTTTCTCATGCGATTTCAAATCAGAACCGTCTTCTGATCTGAGGACAAGCAGATTACTGCAGTTAAGGAACGAGCGTTTGTCAGTGTGGGGAAGATCTTCACGTACATTGTAATCATGGGCTCTAATCTTCTTTCTTCAGTCTTTTGTCTTTGTAGTATCTATGTTAAAGCTTACAGTTTAAACCCTCTGTTGCATAGTTCTTACGTATTCAGGAAATGCTCATGTATAATTTCAATTTTTATTTTCCCTCTAATAAAATAATTTTTCCAAGGCAAAGGAATGTGTTGATAAGTTAAGTCCCCAATCTCTTTAAACAGATCCGGTTAAGAAAGATTACCTTGTTTCCTCATTTTTTACTTTTATTGCTAAAGTGATAATATTACTGTTACCTTTAAAGATACAGAAGGCAAAAAAAATGCCCTCTTTAGGTTGGTTAAGTGCAGTAGGGAGACGCCACGTAAAAAATGATAGTGGTGGAGAAAGCTACTGTTCATTTGCCAAAATGAAGCCAGACGGAAAGGTCAAAGATGAAAGGACTTCTCCCTTGCCTCCCCGCTTTTGATATCAAATCAGATTTTACTGACCTTCTTATTTAAAGATTTGTCTGCTGGGAAGAGAGGAACGATTGTTGGCTTATATTTTTAAAAATTAAATGAATTTAAAAGACAAAAACACCTTTCACATAAAAACTGAGAGTTTCATTGGCAAAATTCATCCTGAAATTTAGTCTTGCCAGACCCCCCCCGCTCCCCCCTCCCCCCCCGAAATACAGGTGGGTGCGTTCTGTTTAAATAATCACATGTAAATGCAGAAGTGCCAGCAGCACTGTAATAATGACTGTAGCGTCTTTTGAAGGCACTGTGAAGCTTCTGTTCAAAGACATTCTTAAATATTTAACTTTTTCTTTTTTTTACAGTTTACGTGGGAATATATAATGACATCTCCCGAGTACTAGATTTTCTTTCCTACTTTTCTTTCTGAGTCAAAGAATAAATAGAATATTTTAATTAAGACATTGCCAACGCGAAACAGAGATGACAAGAGAACACGTCCAGATAGTTCTTTGTTGTGACCTTCAGTAGCCTTCTCTTAACATAGAAGTGACAGCTTGAAAAACGGGGTACCTCTGAGGTAATCTGAGGAAGCCTGCCTTCGCCTCTGCACATAGGGGGAGGCAGTTTTGTCTACTTTGATATAACCTCTAGCTCTTGGTAGATAATCCTGTGGCCATTTATGTGGTCTTCCTTGGAAGATTGTCTGTTCAGCTGGCTGCATGTTTCTGATCTGTTTTTATTATTATTCTTTGGCAGATACTGAACGGCTCTATACGGTGGTGTTCCAAGAAATCTGTGGGCGCTTTGGAAAGACCTATACCTGGGATGTGAAATCTTTGGTCATGGGTAAAAAAGCCCTAGAAGGGGCACAGATTATTCGAGATGTTCTAGATCTTCCAATAACCAAAGAAGAGTTATTATGTGAAAGCAAAATGAAGCAGGAGAAAATATTCCATACTGCTGAATTGATGCCAGGTATGCTTCTCTTAAGTAATTTCATAAGCAGTTTATAGATACTGAAGTACTATCCAGGGTAGAAGTTTTAAACAGCCTTTCACATAAGTTTCTCTTACAAATTCAGTTTTATCAGTCTTGGTTTAGCAACTTTTACTGAAATCTACTTGCTAACTCTTTAAGGAGTTAATTGGAAAACTTTTCTAGTACACTTGAAGAACAGCTGCTTTTTATACATCTTTTAAAGAAAAAAAGAACAAATACTGGATAAATATGCATGACTACCCTTCGTTTCATAATCCAGACATGCTTTGAAATGGTTATTGGCAGCTGTGTAACTTAGCAAGTTAGTTTTCTGTGGTTGCATGTGTAATCTGTCTTTATGTTTAGCACAAGCACACCTGTACGTGTACAAGCAAATGTATGTGGGCATATGTTTTTTTCAGGTGGGATTTATCTGACTTAAATTGAACACTGAAAATTAGGCATGGCATCTGAGCTAGGTGTTTGTCAATGGAGAAGGTTGCTCAGGTTGTCCTGACAGGTGAGCTTGATTACCTTCTGAAGATTTTTGTTCTGGCGATCTCTACAATGCATTAATGATAATGTTTTAATTCTTTTGGATGCGTGTTTATATCTAGTTTCATAATGCATTAAGAGGATGAAAGCTAAAAATATATAATATGCTAGGAACAAATAAAAAGAAACAAAAATAAAAGGTATAATTTGTGTAGGCAGTTTAAAAACTCAAGAATCTCGTGCAGCCAACTTATCTAGATACTTCTCTGCTATCTTTTATAGGCTAGTTTTTTGAAATTGTATCTTTCCTACTTACAGATCTGCATAAAGCTGTAAGCTTGGTTAAACTCTGTAGGGAAGCAAGAAAAATGGGAGGAATTGTTTTTCATTTTTCTGTCAGACTTCTGAGATTAACTTTGCAGATATTTCTTTTGCAAGATAAACAAAACACCTTAGTCTGGGCTGAGAAAATGCCAGATGGACAGACTGGGGAAGTGTTATGAAGCACAGAGAAGAGTCACAGTAATGGAACAGCACAGATAATAGTGGTCGTTAAGCAGATATCCTGTGTCTGCTGAAGGTTGTGATAAAGTGGCTGAGCGGACTTGAGCAGAAAATCAGAGAGGTGATAGAACAGGATAGCCAAATAAAACATCAAGTTTGAACTTTTACTGCCTTCAAAAAGTGAATTCTAGGCTTGCTGAAGCTGAACTACTATGCATGAAGCAAGCAACATTTTTTTACTGGGACAAGCATGTAAACACTTTTATCATAGCCAGAATTAGTCAACAGATTATCCTTACAATTCAGCTAAATATGTACAATAATTTTCTTCTGGCTGTTTTCTAATGCAGAGTTTGTTTGAATTTATACACTTTATGCTTATTGGCCATTGCGGGCAGCAAAGGCAGCCTTGGTCACTGAAGTAATGGGATCTTTACGTGATAGTAACACAGAAGATACAAGTTGAATTGCCGTGTATTTTGAGAGAACCAGCTTGATGTCAGCTGGCAATCTGAAATGGCACTAGTTATTTATTATTTAGTTTCTTTAGTGATTGACCTAAGCTTAAATCTGATAACTAGATTTTTTTGTTTGATAACTTTCCCCTGACTCTCATATCTTCTGCAGATGTTGATTAATATAATCTTTGTAGACTTATTCTACAGCCTTTTGTTGTTCTTTAATTAAGAATGAACTTCAAGCAGAGGTTGTGTAAAACATGAGGCCTCCAAGGATGTGAAGAAACAATGCTAACATTTTGGGCTTAGAATATTCTCTGACTAGACTAATGTTTCAGATTAGTTGTGTGTAAAGGCAGGAAAGTGAAAGTTAATTATCTTGATATATTTATTAATGATGTAAGCTGACTTTCACATGCTAAACCTCCTTTGACAGATAATAGGCAGATGAGGTTCTACATTCAAACAATTTCTACAGTTTTCCCAAAAAATAAGATTCAAAATTGGATTAATGTAGAGCAGTGCTGAATGACAACCAATGAAGTTTAAAATGTTACTGAAGCAGACCAGCACTTATTTCTTTGCAGGGAGGGCAGAGAATGAATGGTCATGCCGGTTACAGCACTGATAACTCTGTTAATTTCCAAGTCAAGTAATTGACTGTTATGTGAGTACTGGTTAAGGATGGGATAGAAGTTACATGAGCATACACTTGCGAGAGCAATTCTTCGTCTGAGAGTCTTGTGTTGGAGCTGTATCGGCTACTATGCAACAGACTTCAGATCTTAGTGGTTGAAGACACAAGTTTGAAGATATCTGTATGGCTGAAGAGACTGGCAGTACATTTCAGTACATCAAGCTGTGGTCACAATACAGGTTTCATCTTTGAAGAGTATATATCTATTTCTCATTTGGAATTTCCAGCAACTCTTTGAGGGTTTTTCACTATTAGATTTCATTTTGTTTCTGAATGAATCATAAGGTAGGCTAGGTTTGATACAATGTAGTAAGGAATTATCCAAGACAGTGCTGCCAGTGACACGGCTGCCACTTGTGCTGCTTATATAAATAGTGCTCTCAGAGTACAGTTGTTGTCATCTGCAAGGATAATGTAGCAGGCTTTCTGTTTCTGCAAAGTGTTACATTGCAATGAAATGGATTGTCAGAAGAATGAGGACTGGAAAGGAAGGAAGAATAAGGGTGGAACATAAGAAAACTGCCTGTGTACCTCTGCCTATGCATGTATAGATGTGCTTGTGGTTAACAAACATCCAGAATATACACACAGCCCCCAAAAAACTTGTTGAGTTACACAGCTGTCATCAACTCCTATAATCATGTCTGGGTTATGAAATTAATGCCATTCTTTCATAGCAGTCTCTGTTTTTCCACTCATATCATTACAGAGCTCAGATGCTTAAGGATCGTGTGGTCCAGGGACTGTGCACCTTCCAGAAGTTTCCACTCCTGGGAGATCTGTGGGATATCTGAAATTTCATTGTCACAGTTCCTGTTCAGCCAGCGCAGAATTTGATGTGCATGCTGTTTTCAAGTTCAAGTACTGCTGATTGTTTCTTGCAGACACAAGAGGGTAATGTCGTAGCTTAATTTTAGTACCAACTGCAACCAGTCAGAAATTAAGAAAAAGATAAAAAAGAAGAACAGTTGAAGTTCCAGTGGAAACTCACTGTAAAGCCTTATATCTTCTTGATACAAGAATATATCTTCTTGATATCTTCTTGATGATACCACCCTGACATCTGTTGGCAAGACAGCACAGCTAGGCACAAACAGTCCAAGAGGTTCCTGCAGAGCATTGATGATAATTTCTTGACCCAGGTGGTGGAGACGCCAATGAGGAGAGGTGCAATGCTAGACCTTGTACTAACAAACAAAGAAGGACTAGTTGGAGATGTGAAGGTTGGGGGCAGCCTTGGCTGCAGTGACCGTGAGATGGTGGAGTTCAGGATCCTAC